TCGGCCTGCCCCCACTTCCATTTTGCCTCCTTGTGCAAAAGCGCGTGCAAAGGGGCCGCCACTGATGCCTTATGCGGTAAAAACGCATGATAAAAATTCAGGAGTCCTAAAAAGGATTGGAGCTCCTTCTTACTCACCGGCCTGGGGGCGTTTTGGATTGCAGATACCTTCTCATCCGTGGGGTGGACTCCCTCTGCGTCAATGCGAAACCCCAGGAAGTCCACACTTTCCACCCCGAGCGTGCATTTTGAGCGCTTAACTCTGAGACCGGCATTTTGAAAACGCCTGAGGACCTCTTTAACCCGGTCCAGTAGTTCCTGTTCAGACCCGCCCGCAATCAGCACGTCGTCAAAATAGGGCACTGTGCCAGGTACCCCCCTTAGTAGACGTTCCATGAGGCCCTGAAAAATCCCAGGTGCTACGTTGACCCCGAATTGCAGCCTGTTCACTTTAAAAGCCCCTTGGTGGGTTACAATTGTTTGGGCCTCGGCAGCCTCCGGGGTGACAGGCAACTGCTGGTATGCCTGGGCCAGGTCAAATTTGGCGAAAATCTTGCCACCCCCCAGGGAAGCCAAAATGTGGCTTATTACCGGGACCGGGTACGAATGTTGCTGCAGCGCCTTGTTAATCGTACATTTGTAATCGGCGCATAGTCGTATGGACCCATCTGATTTGACAGGGGTTACGATCGGGGTCTCCCATTTGCTGTATGGTACTGGCTCTAAAACCCCTTGCTCAACTAGTTTGTCAATCTCTTTTTCCACCTTATGTTTGAGAGACACAGGTACTTTCCGATACTTCAACCTAATAGGTTTGACTGACGGATCTAAGTCAAACGCAACCGGGGGGCCCTTGTACCTCCCCAACCCTTCGGCAAATACATCAGGGAACAGGTCGTACAGCATGCCCCATTTATTTTCAGACATCCTGTTAATCCCAGAAATACCAATGCCCAATGGCTCAAACCAATCTAACCCTAGCAGGTTAACCCGGTCTCCCTCTGCAATCAGGAATGACAGTTTAACACATTTCCCCTTATACTCAACAGTAACAGAGTCCCGTCCGGCCAAGGGAATTCGGTTGCCCTGGAAGTCGGACACTCTGGTTCCCGCAGGCTGGAGCCGCCGCCGGCTTCGGTTCGGGAACAACTGGCGCCAGGACGCGGCAGAAATCACCGTCACGGACGATCCTGAGTCCACCTCCATTGTACAGGGTCGGCCGTCGAGGAGTGGAGTCACGGTGATCTTGCCCTGGCTGCTGGTGCGATTTACGGCCGATGCGCTCGACAAGGTCGCCGTCAACTGGCAGCTTGCTTCCGATGCTGAGGAACGGGTCTTGCCTTGGGTGCTGACTGGAGTGCCCCTCTGCGCTGACCGGTTGTTAGTTGAGGGATCCTTCTTTGCTGATCTGCAGACTCTGGCCAGATGACCACGCCGCCCACACGCTCTGCAGTCGACATCACGAGCCCAACAGGAGTCGCGCTGGTGTTTCCCGCCACAACCGGAGCAAGGCTTGACGTTGGTAGTCTTCGCTGGGGTCCGCTTGCCTCGAACCGCGTTGACGTCATCATCCGCGTCTTCGCCCTCGCTGTCTCGTTGAGCGTGTATACTGGGCTCTGCCACCCGCTGGCGGACCTCCTTCGTGGACTTCTCCGCTGCTTCCGCGGCCACGGCCTCTTCGTAGGCCACTGCCCAGGTCAGGGTGGTGCGGGCGAACAGCCTCTGTTGCAGCCTTTCATCTTTGAGACCGCAGACGAGACGGTCTCTGAGGGCTTCCTCCACGTTGTGGAAATTACATGGCCGTGCGGCTTTGCGAAGGGCCGCCACGAAATCTGCGATGGTCTCGCCTCCGGCCTGGTTCCGCTTGTAAAAAGCGTGCCGGCAGGCGATCTCCGACGGTTGTGGAGAATAGTGAGCCTTAAGCTTCTCCGTGATGTCAGCGTAGGTGACAGTCTTTATATCAGTTGGGGCCACCAACGACCTGGCTATGTCGAAGGTCCCCTTCCCGCAGGAACTCAGGAGGCACGCCCGTTTCTTGGCCTCGTCTGTAATGTCGTGTGTCTCCAGATGGAACTCGAACCTGGACAGGTAGGAGTCCCAGTCTTCTGAGGAGGGTTCGAAGCACTCGCACTTCTGGCTTCCAGCCATCGTGGGAGACTTGGGCACCGGAGCTGGTGGCGCCTCCGCCGGATCGGCTGCTGTGCTCTGCCCGCTTTCTTCCGAGTCCGAAGTGTGGATGTCCGCAGGGCTGCCTACCTGCTCTAACATCCCACCCTCGTCGCCAATTGTTAGATCGCGCTAACAAAGGACTCGTACAGTGATTCAGCAAGTGATTCAGCTTTATTGGAAGTAACGAGCAAGCACTAACTCAGTAAGAAACCAGAACAGAAAACAGTGGGAGCTTATGCTCCTTTTAAACATAACCGGGCTAATGTAGCCACGCCTATTTACAAATAACAACCAATGAGATTGCTAGGATAAAGACCAATGGGAGTCTTTCCCTCCTAGGGAATGGTATCGTTCTGATTGGTCGCTGTTACGAAGCGACCAATAGGAAGTTCGCTCAGAGGAGCCCTGGTCTGGCTCGAAGCTTAACATGGGAGTCCTATGAGGTGATTCATGTAATTATTTCAATACATTACAATAGCTCTATATCTATCTATAGTTACAGATACAAATATAATAATTACTTCATACACTAACAGATTTGGGGAGAAATGGATACCTCTTTGCTTTCTTTTGACTATGTTAAGATTTTATACACACACACACACACTATATGAAAAAATTATTATTCTCTTAAACTGCGAGGGTGTCTTATTCATTCTTAAACTGGGAGGGTGTCTTACTCATTGTTAACAATCTATAGCTTCTGTGTAGCTACCAACTGGAGTCACTTTGTATGGGAGTACACTGTTATAGCCGCTAGAGTTAAGAGTGCATGGAGAACAGAGAGAGTTAACCTTTCAGTATAATGAATGGATTCCCAAAAGCATTTGATGTCATGTTGTTTGTTATGCCTTACTGCTACCAAGGTCTGCAAAGCTGCATCTTTCCGATACCATGGCTGTAATGTAGAAAATCTGACCATTTCAGATGAAGAAACTTCTCAATATTTTCTCAGCCAAAACCAATCAAAAAGTACATTTACCTCCAATGACAAAGCTCTTTGTAAAGTCAGTTTAGTTCTATAATGCCAAATACACCTCTGACTTGCTTCTTTTTGCAACCTGTTATGAGGTATGGCCTCATCAAAACTTTGGTGGGGGGTGATGTACTATTGTGAACAGAACAGTCTATGGCCCCCACTCTCCTCCTCATCTAACACCCACAAGAAGCAATAATCACAGGCTGTGCAGTGGATGATGATGGCCTTCTGTATGGTCAGAGAGGCCTTGTCCCTTTAACTGTGGCACAGTAGTCAGAAATCAACAGGTATGACTTTCTTCTAGCACAGAGTTGCTAGGAAAGCATCAGCTGCTGACTTATGCTTGCTATGCGTTTGTTAAAGGCACAGAAACAAAGCTAAGCACAATGTGCATGTCATGAGTCACACTTTGAGCCTACAAAACAAAACAAGAGGCATCAGCTCTTGTTAATTTGTAAATCAGCTGTTGGAGGCACCCAGCAGTATATCCTGCCTCCTACACTTCTGGCTAAAGCTGCCCATTGAACATATCCCCTGAAATTACCCATGAGTCCATCTCTAGGCTTAGTTTTACCTACAAAACAAGAAAGGCAACAGGTGAACAAGTCACAGCTATTTTGAAACCGTATCACCAGGTGCCCTGGGAGTAAGAACATCATAATGGGCAGGCTGTCAACCAAGCCTTTCTTTTCCATGCAGAAAATTACACTTGCAAGCCACTTGAAGGTTTGAATAAGAGTATGCAACCAATCATACAAATCAGATGAGCAAGACTTATGCAATTAAAAATGAATGACAAAGAGAACTGTAGCTAAGGCACAAAGCAGAGGACTTCATTATAATCAAACAACATTATAACCCCAACTGGATCATATTAGGCCAAACAAGGACAGCTACTGAAGCCTGCATTCTAGACTATTTACATATTTATCAATATCTTAATTGTCTGATGAAAGAAAATCTCTCTGTAATTTCAGTTGCTGTGTTTTTCACAGATCCCGTGAACAGCCATCACAGAACCCAGCCGAGATTCTCAAAACAAGAAGAGTTAACAACAGCTCTGTGACTACTTCTTTGAAACACCTGCTTCTGTTCCTTTCAGTGTGTCATCCCATCGAACATTTGAATGTTCCCAAATACTTTTAAAAGTAGCTGGAATGAACAACAAATTGATCCAAACAGATGAACTTTACAGTAACCTTTCAAAACACCATTAAGGTATCCAAATGGGTGCTTTAGCAACATTCTTGCATTATTGTGATGTTTTCAGACATACCATTACTGAAGGTATTTAGAACTACACTGTACTACAAAAGAATAAAGTCATTTTTCCCTTCCGATTCTGCTGGTAGCTATTAGCATTGGTATCCATCCAAACAAGCACTCAACCCCATCCCCCTCCAATCCTCAGTAGCATACGACAAAGTAATTTTAACATTGCAACCTGGTCCCATAATCATCAGTACATATACTCAGAAGTAAGCCTTACTGATTTGGATTGATCTTGGTGTGCTGAGGACTGCAGCCAAAAGACTCATATTCAAATGTGTATCAGACTACAGCTCGACACCCCCCCCCCCATCACAGACAGGAAAGGAACATGCAAGAAAGGAAATTTGCATGAGTTTTGAGGCTTGGATGTGGGAAACACAAGCCACAAAAGGAGGGCAGAAAGATATCTGTCTAAGCTAATTGTGTTGTGAAGCTGCTCATTGAACAAGAAGCTGAAAATGAAAGGGGAAAAATGACAGATCTCATTTCTGTCAGTGGCAACTTCTTCACTTTTCACATGTTTTATTTATTTCCTAAAGAAGTCAGAAGATCTCAAGGCAAAGAGTCAGCGGTCCTCTTACCTGAGCTGATCATGCTGTGCATTCTTTGCTGAGCCAGGAGCCGCTCACGTCCGGAAACTCCATCTGAGAAAAGACAGGATTCACTCTCGTCAATTGTCTGCAGCATATCCCAATCAGTCTGTACTTCAGCTACATGAAAGATTCATCACCAGCCGTTCAGAGGCGTTAGAAACGACCCCTTTTGCTCCTGTTTCCTCCTCCTCGGGAGGAGGGGATCTTTAAAAATAATACTAATTGCACAAATTACCCAAATGAAGATATGATACTTATACACCAAGATTTTTAAAGCACCAGTTATAATAGCAATCCAGCTCAGTGACAATTCCACCCTGCTGCTACAAGATAACAAGAAATAATCTATATATTTTTAAAAGGCATGGCTTATTATGCACCTCTTTGGTTAAGCGAGCTATGTTCTGCAAGCCAAGAGCAGGTGGAAGAAGGATATAGCTCTCCCTCAGGTTATTCTTGGGAGGCCAGTGAGAGAAATAAAACCACTTAAAAACAACAACAAGCAAGCCCAGTTTCTAGGGACTTGAATCCCTGGGGGTTTAAGTTTCAATTACTCCCTGCCCTGGCAAGTGTCTCTGTCTCTCCTCTTTTCTTTCCCTCCCTCTGCAAAGTTGGCAGCAGGCAGTGCAAGCTCATTTGCATACGGATCAACAACAGCCTGGCCCACAGGCAACAGAAATAGAACAATGGCTGGCCAGAGCCAAAAATAGGTCACGCAGGGCCGGATGATTGGAGCCTGCATGAATGCATTTAAAAATACCTCAGCTAACCCAGCTGGCCAGTCTGTGTCTTTCAAGCAGCAGGTCTCCAAGTGCGATCCCTCCGAAGCGAGTCCCTCAACCCACTGCCTGTGTGTGAGCGTGCCTGTGTGTGAGCACGATTAGCCAGCTTCATTACAGTGCAAGCTTCCCCCTCCCCTTTCAGCCAGTCCCTGAAAAGAGAGCAAAAGGGGACCAGAGACCGCCGGTGGTTCTTAAATAATAAACGGTGGAAGCTTCTGCTCAGAATGTGGTTTCTGCTTCACCCACGCACAGCAAACCTGGATGTTCTATTTTGGTTGCCTGTTTCTCTGGCTACGCTGCCGTTAGTTCGCTGGAGCACTACTATCTTGCCGGTGCCTTTCAGTTGCAGCATCTACAGGCAACTGGGGGAGGGGGGAAGTTGAAGCTGCTGAATACCATCACACCCCCAAGGAGACAAAACACATCTCACAAAGAATGGTACTTTGCTTTTGAAGTGGATTGTTCCCCTTAATGTCAGCTTTCTGTTACAGCACAGCATGGGAAACGGCTGCAAGCTACAGTACAAGTACCCGCTTCCCTCCACCCCCTCCCCCAGCAAAGAGAGAGGAGAAATGCTACACAATTTATACTGCAGAGGACTCTAAATATAAAAGGAAGTGTTGACTTAAAATAGCTGCTTTCAGATTTCGACGGCAATATTTAAAGGGTCCACGCGCTTGTGTGCCTCACTCTGCTGATGTTATTTTTGAGAGCTCTTCATTGTTTATGCTGTAGGTAAGTATACAAAAGCTAAGCAGAGATACTGGTCAGCTTAAGCAAATATACAGCAGTAGGTATGCAAACAGAGCTTTACCACCACACTATCATTTGATAAAACAGGTCACCAATAAAACAGGTCACCAATAAGTCAACTTTTTAACAGGATACCTGTGGCTTTTCCCCAATGTGGCACCCTTCTCATGCTCCAAAAAAGTGGGCAAGATCATTGCCCAGGAGGGCTTGTGGTTGGCAGGTGGCTCCCACCTTTAAACAGCCACTGGAAGAACCTGAGAATGGGTAAACTGTGAATTTCACTTAGCTGGGGATCTCATTCCAGAGACGGAAGGGCCCACCCACTCCAACACTCCCCCCCCCCCGGTGATGGACTCCACTCTTAAAAGCTCAGAAGTGCTGTACAAACAAGTAAAGGACTGTGAAGGGTTAATTTCTCACAGAACTAGAGAGTCTGAGTGACAGGCTGTTCCAAGGACTTTGATTGGTAAGCATCAGTTGAACAGAGAAAAACTTCTGAAATGGATGCTGAGAAGAATTCAGTCTGAATTCAGCCCTGACCAACAGTGCTTCAACAAAAACAGAGAACTTGGGGAAGTTGGCAAGAGGAGTGGGAAGTTAGGAGAAGACTCCAATTCGGGCCAAGAAAAGGGGACAGAACTTCTAGTGAGAGATGAAATTTCCGTACCCAGTCAAAACAGGAAGATAGATCTGAAGAGTGGAGAGATTCCTAATCTGGTGTGGTTAGAGACTGCCTTGGGAAATCTTGAGTCAAAACTCAAGAAGAGTACTAGTATGTCTAAAGAAGGAGTTTGGGTACAGGTTAGAGTGTACCAGCCTTCTGGAAACTAAGAGTCAGTGAATGCTGAAAGAAAGTGTACTGGAATGGGAAACACTGGAACAAAAGCCTGTAATCTTAAAGATTCTAAGTCACAGTGAAAAGCTTATGAAACTCTCAGTAGTCTGAAACACATGAACTAAAGCCTATGCATATACTGATTTGTTAGACTAACCTTATCTCTCTCTTTTTTTTTTTGAGAAAGTTACTACCTTGCTGGATCAGGGGAATGCTGTATACATAGTTTATCTTGATTTCAGTAAGGCTTTTGATAAGGTTCCACATAATAGTCTTGTTGACAAATTGGAAAAATGTGGTTTGGATCCTATTACTGTTAGGTGGATCTGTAACTGGTTGACAGATTGTACCCAAAGAGTGCTTGTTAATGGTTCCTCATCCTCTTGGAGAGGAGTGACAAGTGAAGTGCCTCAAGGATCTGTCCTGGGACATGTTCAACATCTTTATCAATGCTTTGGATTAAGGAATAGAGGAATTTCAATGGGGATAAATGTAAAGTTCTACATATAGATAGGAAAAATCAAATACATAATTTTAGGATGGGGGAGACTTGTCTTAGTGGTAGTATGTGAACGAAGGGTCTAGGGGTTTTAATAGACTATACACTGAACATGAGTCAGCAGTGTGATGCGGTAGCTAAAAAGGCAAATGCAATTTTGGGTTGTATCAACAGAAGTATAGTATCCAGATCACACAAAGTGATAGTATTGCTTTACTCTGCACTGGTTAGACCTCACTTAGAGTATTGTGTTCAGTTTTGGGCACCACAATTTAAGAAAGTTATAGACAAGCTGGAACATGTCCAGAAGTGGGCAATGAGGATGCTGAGGGGTCTGGAAACCAAGTCCTATCAGGAAAGGTTGAAGGAGCTGGGAATGTTTAGCCTGGAGAGGAGACAACTGAGAGGTGAAGGTATTTGAAGGGCTGTCATATAGAGTTGTTTTCTGTACGGAGTTGTTTTCTTTTGTGCCAGAAGGTCGGATCAGAACCAATGGGTTAAAATTAAATCAGAAGAGTTTTCAGCTAAATTTTAGGAAGAACATCCTGATAGTTAAAGCAGTTCCTCAGTGGAACAGGCTTCCTCTTTGGAGGTTTTCGAACAGAGGGTAGGTGGCCATCTGACAGCAATGCTGATTCTGTGAACTTAGGCAGATCATGAGAGGGAGTGCAGGAAGGGTTGCATTAGTGCTTAGTTCTTGTGGCTCTTTCTTACACACCCAGGGAAATGCTGATCACCACTTAGGGGTCAGGAAGCAATTTTTCTGCAGGCCAGTTTTGCTGTATACCCTGGAGGTTTTTTGTCATCTTCTGGGCATGGAACAGCAGTCATTGGGGGTGTGGGGGGAGGTATTTGTGGATTTCCTGCCATATGCAGGTGGTTGGACTAGATGACCCTGGAGGTCCCTTCCAACTCTATGATTCCATTACTCACTTCAGAGTTCTATATTGAGTAACTTCAGAAATTTTACCCCTGATTTTACCTGACTTTTCCTATCTATGTTGAATAAAATATTTTGTTAATTTTGAATTTCAAAACGCCTTGAATGCTATTTAAGTTAAAGTAAAAAGGGGCTCTCGATCCTTCCCTCAGGTTCCCAGACTGAGCCAACAGCCAAAATATCATACTGCAGCAGGGTGGGACAACCAGAGTTCTTCAGGAAAGAAGAAAACAAGATATCTAGGGCAGATCAGTCAGAAAAGGAAAGAAAAGAGGAGGGAAAATCTTGTATCTCACTGGGAGGGAAGGGGACAGGGGAGTCATCAGTTTGGTATAGTGGTTAAATGTGCAGACTCTAATCTGAGAGAACCGGGTTTGATTCCCCACTCCTCCACTTGCACCTGGCTGGATGACCTTGGGCAAGCCATAGTTCTGGCACAGCTGTTCTTGAAAAAGAGCAGTTTCTTTCAGAGCTCTCTCAGCCCCACCTTCCTCACAGGGTGTCTGTTGTGGGGAGGGGAGGGGAAAGGAGTTTGTAAGCTGCTCTGAGACTCCTTTGGTTAGTGAAGTGCAGGATATAAATCCAATCTCTTCTCTGCAGCCTCTGTGCTCTCATCCTAGCACCAAGGCAACTACTGATTGGAAAGCAAGCTAACTGCAGAGAAGAGAGAGTCAAACCACCAGCACCATGGCAGCCACCCAGAAAAGTGAAAGGTGGCCATAACAGGGTGATGGTGGTGGTTTTACTTTGTTTACTTCACAGTCAGCTGGACCCCTCCAGGAACCTTGGCAATCTCACTCTGACCGGTTTCCCACAAGCCGCTGCTCTGCCCTCGCTCTTCCCTTTACCCTGATTATATGTCTCAATTTCCCACTATTTGCTGCGTGACTGCATTTTGCCCTGCAGCTTCGCCCGATTTCCCCCACGTCTACTCGATCCTCAAAAAACAGCAGCAGCTTGTGGGAAATCGGTCTCTCTCTCCTGACCTGCTGTGCCTCACAGGCAGGAAAGAGCAAGGAGGTAAGGAGGGGGGTTCCTATTGTATGTGTGTGTTTGGTGGGGTGGCACACAGGTCTTACAGTAGTCATGTGGCTCTTTTGATTGCCAGAGAGAGAATGTGGTTCTCTAAAAGCCACGGACTGAGTATCACTGCCTTACATAGGACTCTTAACATGTATACCAACTTTTTACTCAGATTCTTACATGTATTTTTTCCCCAGTACACCAGGTAAGAATCACAAAGATTCTCTGACAGTGCAATCCAAAACAGAGTTATACCGTCCTAAATCCCTCAAAGTCAGCAGGCTTAGAAGAGTGTAGTTCTGCTTTGGATGTCAATTTGAGCTGCTCAGCTATGGAACCAACCCATCCTAGTCACATAAGTGTCCAATAAGTTCACATTGTGGTCTTTCATACTTCAGACCTAGTGGGAGATAACAATAAGGTAATAATCAACTGATGAAATACTGGTGTTTACTCTGCACTGAAAACCACTCCAGTTGCTACCTAAAATGTGGCTGGAGTGTAGGGCTGCCAAATCCCCCCGGGGGGCGGATTTCCCCCTGCTTTGGAGGCCCGATTTCCGCCCCCGCGGAATCGGGCTGCGGGGGAAACCCCACCCCCA